CGATAATTATTTATTTCTTACAGTTTTGATAGGAATATATGAAACAAAAAGAAAATTCATATTGTGGAAACTTAGACTCATATTTTGTGATAGAACCTATGAGCTCTTCCGGGTGTTTTATTTTAATATGGTTTTTGCTCATTGCTCTGCTACAGGTAGTATCATACATCTTTTCTAATGGTGGTGGCCGTTTTATTTAACCAGAAGTTTCTTGTGTTAGGATGATTTTGAGCAGTTAAAAATTACAAGAAAAGATCTTAACATCGTTAGTCTCAAGTATATCATAATGGTTGAGTGTGGCATCTAGAGCAAGATTGTATAGCTGTACATGTTGGGCTTTGCTGCTTAATAAATGTGTGACCCTGGGCAGAGTATGTAACTTCTCTGAACCTCAATTTCCTCATCTATAAAATAATAATAATAATATCTATCGCATAGTATTGTATTAAATATTAAGTGAGTTGATAGATGTAAAGCAGCTAGAACAGTGCCTGGCCCAGAAAAATCACTTTATGTTATTTACTTATCAGTTTTTCCATTATTGTTAATAATATTTTTAATTTGAACATGATATATTAATTTCCCCTTAGCTTATTGTTTAGGTCTAGAGCTGCTTAGATTCATTTGCATATACTATTGCTTATTTAATTCTAAATAAGTGGTTCTATACACATTTAGTAACTTGTGCCTCTTAAACACTGGTTATGCAAGAGAACTCTTGAATAATTTCATAAAGTAACTTTTGTCCCTTACTCAGAGTAGAATATTTTGAAGACATCTTTTCTCTGAAGTTTTTAGACAAGCTACAAACTAGTTTGTATTCGTCAGAGTTCTCTAGAGAGACAGAACCAATGGGATAGCTAGCTAGATAGCTAGATAGACGGATGAGAGGGGATTTATTAGACGAATTTGTTCACGTGGTTATGGAGGATGAGAAGTCCAAGATTGAGGGACTGACAATTGGTGAGGGCTTTCTTGCTGTGTCATCTCATGGCAAAAGAGAGAGAGAGGCCAAACTTGTCCTTTTGTAAGGAATCCACTCCCATGAAAATGGCATTAATCTGTTCATGACAGTGGAGCCTAATCGCCTCTTGAAGATCCACCTCTTTTATGAACTTTCACTCTTTTTGCCCAGGCTGGAGTACAATGGCATGATCTTGGCTCACTGCAACCTCTGCCTCCTAGGTTCAGGCAATTCTCCTGCCTCATCCTCCTGAGTAGCTGGGATTATAGGCATGTGTCACCATGCCTGGCTAATTTTGTATTTTTAATAGAGATGGGGTTTCTCCATGTTGGTCAAGCTGGTCTTGAACTCCCAACCTCAGGTGATCCACCCGCCTTGGCCTCCCAAAGTGCCGGGATTATAGTCGTGAGCTACAGTGCCTGGCCAAAGATCCCACCTCTTAATATTGTTACAGTGGTGATTACATTTTAACATAACTTTTGGAGGAGACAAACATTCGAACCATAACACAGATCCATGACAGAATTTTCACATGCACCAGAATGTGAATGACAGCTACTTGGCCGACATTTTAAGGGAAAACAGCTTAGTTTAGTGTAAAACACATGGGTATTAGAGTTTGGAGCTTGGCTGCTAGCTATGTGACCTTGGGCATGCCACATGTCATCTTTGAGCTTCTGCTTCTTCAAATACAAGGCTATTGTAAGGTCAAAATATGATCCAGTTATAAAGGGTTTGCCACATACTGAGGGCTCACATCAGACCATGTTAGTTCCATTTCCTTGACCTTACTCCCTTCCTCCTTTGATAATGCTTCATTCAAAGTATAAATTGAAGACTTCAGGAACAGAAAGGAAATGAAATGTTAAGATAATTTGACTGTAACTAAAGGGTTAGTGTTAACACATCCATTCTGTACCTATGCAATAGTAGTGCAATAGTAATCTTAGAAGCTGTGAAAGATCACTGCTGCTTCTCTCTGGGCCTCTGAATGAATCAATGATGCAGTATATATAATATTCTCAAACATTATATATGAATATTATATATATTTCATATTAGTGTATGTATATATTAGTGTATATATTAGTATATATAGTACATATATTTGTACTAATATGCATGCACAAATATATGTAAGTATAAGACGTAGTTACTGTCTCTAAGGTGTCATGTCTTTCTGATGATGATTTAATGGAATAAATTGGACTTGAGTTGGATAATCAGATTCCATATGTAGGGGGGAAAGAGGAGGTATTCCAGCCAGAGGGAATGGTGTGAGCAGAGGCACAAATGTGATTTTGGTCAGGAGCCAATGAGTAAACTAGTCTTTCCAGAGAGCCTTTCTTGGGGAAGGTGAATTGTAGTGCCCCCAAATGCAGGAAGCAAGGATTAGGACAAGGTCACTGATGGTCAGTTCAAGGAGTTTGGAATGTGTCCTGTAGGTACTGGGAAGCCACTGAAGGCTTGTTGAGTAAGCACAACACAGCAGAGGTGCTGATTTGGAAATAAAAAGCTAGTGGCTATGAGGGTGGACTTGGTTATAGCAAAATCAGTCAAGAAACTATTGTAATAGTCTGGGGCCAGATCATGGAGGGCCTCATAGGCCCCAATCATTCCTTCATCTACATTTGCTTCAGCTTTTACATCTTTCTAGACCAGTCCTTTTATGTTTGACAGACGTCTTCCATTTAGATTCTGTCTTAGATCTGTCTTAGATTCTGTCTTAGATTCTGTCTTCTATTTGCAAGTGGTAATTCTATAATCCCATTTGATTTCCATAGCATCTAATGAAATTCATTTTTTCTCCCCGGCATGAAAGCAAATTTTCCATACATTTTGTGTGCTGCAACCTAGTAACAAGGAAGAATAGGTCAGATTAATCCTAAATATCTGCTTTTTTATTCATTGCAAACATAAACCCTTTCGTTAATATCAAGACAGCTAAAAAAACTCCACCTCATCTAAGAAATCTGGCATCTGAAGCCCTTTACATTTGCCTCAACAAATCTTTTCCAGTTTTATTTTTACTGCCCACTTCAACTATCCTTTGTTTCAGCTTCATCTCTAATCTAATTCCATTGTACCCAGCAATTTTGTGCCCCTGCCTTTGTCCCTTCCACCTGCTTGCTTTCTTCTCCACACCCTAAAAATTCTACCCATTCTTCAAGGTCCCATTCAAATGCTACTCCTTTTGAGAGTGTTGCATGCTGGCCTTACTTTCTGTATGGTACACATTTGTGCTGTAAAATGAGGACCTATTCCATTCCAGTTACTGTCAAGGCATTCCCAAATGATTAAAACACAGGGAAACAGATGGCACTATAGTGAAATAACCTAAGTGTTGTAATCAGAGTAAGCATTGGAGGAAGGCTCTGAGAGTTTCCATCATCAATTCAGTGCCAGCAAGAGGGATCAGGGAAAAGTTCCTCAAGAGGTGGTATCAGAGGCGCTTGAACTGGAGTGACTCCATCTTGAATAGGAGCTGGGTGAGATAAGGCTGAGACCTACTGGGCTGTAATCCCAGGAGGTGAAGGCATTCTTAGTCACAGGATCAGCTAGGAAGTCAGCACAAGAGACAGGTCACAAAGACCTTGCTGATAAAACAGCATGTGATAAAGAAGCTGGCCAGAACTCGCCAAGACCAAGATGGCGATGAAAGTGACCTTTGGTCATCTCACTGCTCATTATATGCTAATTATAATGCCCACCTACCAAGCACCTGGATTTAAAAGTTGGTAACAATTTAGTCAGACATGGTGGCTCATGCCTGTAATCCCAACTGCTCCAGAGGCTGAGGTGGTCACAGTGAGCCAAGATCGCGCCACTGCATGCCAGCCTGGGCGACACAGTGAGACTCCATCTCAAAACACTAACATAAAAATTGTCAACATTTTTTCATAACGTAAATTACTGATAACATAATATATGTATTTGCTTCAGCTCCTCCCCCGGCAGAACATATATTTACTTATATTACCACAGTTCCATTACTGCACCCAGTAGAATCAACAGCAGTTACCTAATGTCATCTAACAGCCTACTAATGTTCAGATTTCTTCAGTTCTTCCAAAACTATGATTATTAATTTATTAATTATTAGTGAAGCATTATCAGAAGATCTGAGATCTGAGAACTTGGTACGGTTGCTCAGTTGATATGAGTCATAGTATGGATTGGTAGAAGAACAAAACTTAAGCCAGCAAAATAGATAGTAACTATTATTAGAAAACACTTTCCTCTCTAAGCTTCACAACCCATAGAAACTGAGGGATCAGCTAAGAATAGCTTGAGCCCTCAACCTGGTAACCTAGGAGTTATGACACTACCCGAACCTCTCAGGTTCTAGAGAGGAGAAAGACCATTGAAAGATAACTCCAGACACTTGTGGATGGATAGTCAGTTGTTTATTCCAACACCATTTTTTGAGTAGCCCATTCTTCCTTTAATACCTTGAAATACTACCAGAGAACTATAAAAATACTAGGAATAAGTGAACATATTTGTATTATCTTACTGGGGGGAAGGCTTTTCAAAGCAAGGCAGAAACAGTTGACTACATAAATATTTGAAGCATCTTTTTGGCAAAAGACAAAATAAATAAAATTCAAAAGTAAATGACATGCTTGGAGAAAATATTTGCAATATAGACAGGATTAAAAATAAGTTCTCTAAAATGTTAACAGTACCTACAAATCAGTAAGAAAAAAATTATAACATGGAAAAAGGACAGAACAAGTATTTAAAGAGGAAAGATGATTAAAAAATGAATTAAAACAAACATTAGACAGCTTGTTATTTACCTTCTAATTGATACAAGTCACAAATGTTGATTATGTGTCATGTTCGTGAGTACAAGAGAGGAAAGAACTCTCATTTGCTTTTAGCATACAAATAGGCACAACGTTTGTAAGGGCAATTTGGCATATATTTTTATTACTCCAATTTCTGTCTTTCTCACTAGCTCTTAAGCTACTCATTTAGACTGCCTCTGTTCCTGACCTCATTTCTTATTTTTGTGTTTGCTTTTTCCTAGATGGTGTGCTTCTCACCTCAGCCTGGTAGCCTGTCCTTGACTCCTGAGTTCCACAATCACTTCACAACTGCAAGTCATTGTCATACAAAATTTGAGTTTACCTAAGTCTGCGCATTTGAGAGTTTTGGAATGATATGCCAGTTCAAGTCACCGTCATGTTTCTTGCTGTCTCCTGGGAGAAGACCAACATTTGGGTTACGTGTTTCTACCCTTGTTCTTCTGCTTGTTATTGTTGCCTCTGCAGCCATTGGTGACCCACGTGTTATCATACAAAAACTGGTTAGCCTTTTATTTGTCTTGTGGATTTTATCATTTGGTTCTTAAGTATTACAAATTAATACTATGTACTTCTCAGTGATATAGAACTTTCAGTCATTGTAAATTTGCATGAATTAGGGTGAGAATGGGTGCAAGCAAAAGAACAAAAAGAGGGATGATAGAAATGCAAGAAGGGCAAAGATGGTAAGAAAGGTTATGTTAATAGCGAACACAATGAAAGTTCTTTAAATGCTTGATAATAGTGAAAGCAACACTTCCTAGGGCATATTTTTGGTGTTAATGAACCTGCACATCACATAATAAAGAAAAATGAGAAAGCAGTTGGGGCCAGTGAATCGGGCACAGCAGAATAAATGAGAAAATCATACATAACTCAAAATCTCACAGAGAAAATATAAAGAGATTTGTACTTGTGGCTTCTAAAACAGAGAAGGTTGAATAGGTCTCTTTCTGTATGTAAAATCTGCCAGTGAGCATCACAAAAATGCAAATTTAAATTTCAATCTGAATGGAAAGTTATAAACATTCATTGCAAGTAATGAGTGGTTGGGTAGGTTTAAGAAATGCAAGGTAGGTGGATCACTTGAGGTCAGGAGTTCGCAACCAGCCTGGCCAACATGGTGAAACGTTGTCTCTACTAAAAATACAAAAACGATCTGGGCATGGGGGAGGGCGTCTGTAGTCCCAGCTACTCTGGAGGCTGAGGCAGGAGAATCGCTTGAACCCAGGAGGTAGAGGTTGCAGTGAGCCAAGATCGTGCCATTGCACTCCAGCCTGGGTGACAAGAGTGAAACTCCGTCTCAAAAAAAAAAAAAAAAAAAAAAACAAATTCTGTTTCCTGTAATGAAAAGAAGTGGAGATGTGGCTGGCAGAGGAAGCAGATTATGAAGTTGCCAAAGAGTATCATGAATACCTGAAGAAGATGATTGAGGAAAATGGCAATTTGCCTGAGCAGGTTGTCAGTGCTGTTGAAACTCTGGAAGCAAAGGCTTACCTGCACATCTATTGCAAAACATGAGAAAAGGACTGAGGCTTCAGCCTGGAAAAGACAAGCTCAAAGTTCTGCTTTGTTCCAGTGCTTTCTGATTAAACCCATGTTGCTTTGCAGATGCCAAAATTATTACCTTCTTTAAAGAGAAAGCCAGAAACACTTTTTTTGTCTACATGAAGAGAAACCATAAAATATGGATCACTGAGAAACTCTTTTTGAGCTGGTCTTCGAAGTGTTTTTTTCTTAGGTTAAATAATATTTAAATGAATAAAACATTTTGACTTCACAGTGTTGCTGATTCTGGACACTGCTCCTAGAGACAAAAATGCAGTTGTAAATGCTGCTCCTTATGTTGAAGTCAACTCCATTACCCCAGTACGATTGTACTCCTTCAACTCATGCATCTGAGAGTGCTAAAATAGTTGGTGATGTACTATACTCAGCATGTATTTTGACTACCTGCAGATCTTATCAGAGACACCAGAACTTTACCATGAAAGTAGCTTGGCAAAATTTCTCCATTTGTAATGCTTTCACAAGCGTAGAAGAATCAGTGAGACAAATAAAACAATTAACATTTCATGAAGTCTGGCAGAAATTTTGGAATGATATTGTGACTGACTCAGAAGGCTTCCTTCCTGTGGTAGAAGAAATGGAAAATACTGTAATATCTGCAAAGCATTTGAGTAGTGAAGGCCTTGAAGACATTGAGCTAAGTGACATTACTGAATTGTTAGACTCTGACCTTCAAAACATAGTTGAGAACTATTTTGGAGGTGTGATCACATCAAAAGGCAATAAAAGAAGCCAGCATAGGTTAACATCCAGAACTCTAAGAATGTTCAAGTATCTATTCCACAAATGAAATTGAAACAATGATTCAAAAGAAAGAGATTCTTTGGTGGACTACATATTGACTCTCAGGTAAGGCTTATAAGATTACTCACAATCCTATAAAGCAGTAATAATAAACCTCTAAACAAACACCAATAAGTCTTTTCTCTCTGCTCGCTTGACAGGAGAGAAGAGGTTGGACAATTAGGCCATGTCATTAAAACCCGTTCTGCAAACAGGAAGTAGAAATGTCACACACAAGTTGAACCTTGGGATTCAGACTCTGATGGCTCTGTTGATGTGATGATTTGTGTGCTGGGGATGAAGGAAGAGAAGGAGACTGAGCTTACATCTCTTCAGATGAAATGCAGTTTTCTCTATTCTTTCCCTGTTACTAGTGTTATGACCAAGCATTTTCACTGATACATTATCATCTTCATCTTGAAGTCACAAAGGAAATTAATTGCCTGATATCCACTATTGCTAATATAAAATATCATTGATATTTATTTTGTTTTATTTTGGTGAACACGCTAATTGGGCTTTCATAATACTCACATCCCTGCCCCATTTTTTCCAAAAAGGTCTTAAATTCCTCCTACACCGTTATTATGAGAGTTTCAGGAACTCAACTATAGCAGTTAAGGAGAGAGCTACTACTCTACTTGGCGGGATAATTTGATTTTGTACTCTTGACCTGAAATTTGCTTTAATTCTGATTAAGCCTAACTTGTGATCTCACCAGAAAGGACGAGTTTGGTATAAGTTAAGATCATTTGTTTTGCAGCAATTATATATGTTAGCTGTTGGCTGATCCTGAAAGGCAGTATGTTTATGTTAAATTTCCAGATTTCCTTTGATACCTAATCAAGGAGAAACAGCTGCTAGTGTTCATTTTCGTAGCTCCCCTCTGTTTTCATATCTGGCCTCCCCAGTGATTTGAAGAGTTAAATATTCTCCAGAAAATGGATGTTGTTACTTCCTGTTCTCTGAAGGTGATGGAGACTTCATTCTCAGATTGTTTTTAAATATCCTCTGTAATTCCATGTATTTACTTTATTCAATTCAATTATTTTACAGAAGTTATTGTTATGGTTGTTTTAATTTTGGATGTTTGGAATTTTCCAGGCAAATTTAACAGAGGGAGAAAAATCACAAAGTCAGAAATATGATGCTGATATCTTGTTCTAAGAATTTTGGGCAAAGACATATGATGAACCTGCCTGTTTTTTTGGCTGCTTGTACACATTCCCAACTGATGTCCATTTTGAACTCAGTTGGACAGTTATTCTGGGGAATAGAAAGGAAGTCCACATAACATTGCTGTTGTTTCTGTCTTAATTGCTATTTGTGCCAGATTCACAGCACTGGCATCAATCATTATATCTGATAATGATGCACAGAAAACCTGAATAGAAGAAAGATAATTCATTGGCATGTGCTTGCCAAAAAGAGACTTCATGTAACTTGAGACAGCATAAAAACAACCTGGAATGATGAAATTTATGTACAGTAATGAGAAAAAACTGTTGTAAACAGCAATGTGAAAAACTGACACCAGAGAATAAATTGAATTTGGTTTTGCAGGAAGCAGGAAACGAGCCCACTCAATGTGAGATTTGGAGTGAGGGAGTCCAGTAATTTTCTCCCCAGTCTGTGAACTATATGTGAGTTTGATATTTTCAAGGAAAAGGAAAAAAAAAGTCTAAAAGGTCTTCTGCACAGCAAAAGAAACTAGCATCAGAATGAACAGGAAACCTAAAAAATAGTAGAAAATTTTTGTAATCTACCCATCTGACAAAGGTCTAATATCCAGAATGTACAAGGAACTTAAAGTTATAAGAAAAAAACAATCCCATCAAAAAGTGTGCAAAGGATATGAACAGACACTTCTCAAAAAAAGACACTTCTGCGGCCAACAAATATTTTTAAAAGTTCAGCACTGATCATTAGAGAAATGCTAATCAAAATCACAATGAGACACCAGACCGGGGTCCAGTGTGAAGAGCTCCTCATCCTGGAAAATGGGGTGTGGCCAGAAAGGTGGCTGCCCCCTCATCTGTCACCCAATGTTAGTGGAAAACCTGGCGCTAAACCGTTCCTAGACTACCTGCTTCTGGGTCAGGGTTTCATGAGTAACAGAGCAGCTTCCTCACTGCGATCTATTGAAAGTGAGCCCTCAGACACAAGGATTTGTCCAGGGGCGTGCTCAGGGCCAGGGGCCGGGTGCGTCCAGTACCGTCAGTTCCTCTTCCTTCTTTCCTCATGCCACCCCAGGGGGCCTTGTTACTCTGGCGGTCGTGTACCCACCTGCTCCAGATGTGTCCTATGTTGGCTCATGCATGCCTGCCATGTGTTAGGCCAGTCAGAATGAGGCTTATTAACAAGTCAGGAAACAATAGATGCTGGCGAGGCTGTGGAGGAGTAGGAATGTTCTTACACTGTTGATGGGAGTGCAAATTAGTTTAACAATTATTGAAGACAGTGTGGCGATTCCTCAAGGATCTAGAACCAGAGGTATTGACCCAGCAATCCCATTACTGGGTATATACTGAAAGGATTGTAAAACATTCTACTATAAAGTCACATGCACACTTATGTTTATTGTGGCACTGTTCACAATAGCAAAGACTTGGAATCAACCCAAATGCCCATCAGTGATAGGCTGGATAAAGAAAATGTGGCACATGTATACCATGGAATACCAGGCAGCCATAAAAAAGAATTGAGATCATACCCTTTGTAGGTACGTGGATGAAGCTGGAAGCCATCATTCTCAGCAAACTAACATAGGAACAGAAAACCAAACACATGTTCTCACTTATAAGTGGGAGTTGAACAATGAGAACACATGGGCACGAGAAGGGGAACAACACACACCAGGGCCTGCTGGGGAATGGGAGGAAGGGGAGGGAGAGCATTAGGACAAATACCTAATGCATGTGGGGCTTAGAACCTGGATGATGGAGTGATGGATGCAGCAAACCACCATGGCACATGTATACCTATATAACAAACCTGCACATTCTGCACATGTATCCTGGAACTTAAAGTGAAATAATTTGAAAAAGGGCTTGCTTGCATGGTTATGGTTGAGATGACAGATATTCTTCAACATGCTCAAATGAGGAAGATGAAGGTTGAAAACCCATTGTAGGATATTGTGGATCTAGTAATTTGCCACAGTTCCAGGAGAGCTTATACTCTTGATCTAAACCACAGTTGTTCTCAACACTGACTGTATATCAGAGTAATGACAGAAAGCTCTGAAAAATATAAATTTCAAGGAACTGCACACAGATGTGCTCAATCAGGGTTAGGGCCAGAATCTGTATATTTCAAAAGTTCCTCCAGTGTTTCTTTATATAGCCATGGCTTGCAAACTGTTTTAAATCTAAAGAAAATTATGATAGAAAATATAAATGGTAGTGGGTCCAGAAACTAGGAAACCTTGATTCAAAGTGTTTGTTCTGTCACTAGTTCAATGAATGGTCTTATTCAAGTCACTCCTGTCTTTCCTTGTCTTTCAAGTGAGAGGATAAGACCACTTGGTGTCCAAAGTCTTTCTATTCTAACATTACTTTGAGAGAAAGCTGCATCAACGTCAGTGGTTGATTTTCAGAATACCTAAACTTTTTCATAGAGACCAAGGTAAAGAGGAGTATTATTGCATTACGTAATTGTGCTCATGGTTCACATTTTACCATGTTTTAGTCCCCCCCAGAAAATAAAGTAGGGCATAATGCCATAGAAACAAGGCAATAGAAGCATCAATTGTCTTAAAGGAAAGAGAGGAAGTACCAACTGGGAATTTCTTTTTCTGTGATAATTGCTTTTTTTTTTCCTCTGGGTTATAGGGTTTAGGAAAAATAATGCACAGATATTGTGTGTAAAATGCTCTAATATTTTGTATCTATTGTTTCCATAAACCAAAGCAGAGAACTCTCTATGGTGAATTCTTTGTTTTCATAGATCATTTTCTTATTCTTAATCATGTATACAGGTAAATATTTTTAAGTGAATGATATTTTCATTAGTATGATCAGTGGCTCTATATGACTTTAAATAATTAGCTGTTTTGATAATTTTACCATTTATTGAGATTACTACCTTGGCAATATTTTTTTCATTTAGTTTGACCAGAATTAGAGAAATAAAAGTTTAAATTGAATTACATCAACTAGAAACTCTTAATATAAGTGATGAGAAATTGACTATTATATGATTTTAGTTGTCAAAGGACTTTGGCTTGATATATGGAAACATTTGTCTAGGTCCCAGGTCATTTGAAATAAAATATTGGGATAAATTTAATTATTGTTTAAGATAATATCCAGTTAAAACAACCTAGGAAGTATCACTGATGAGAGTAAAAGAACATTTTACTGTGTTTGAGTTCAACAAGTCTGTAAAACTTGTAGGAGGACCTGAAAGTTTGGTATAAGCTAAAGGTAGAAATAGAAGTTAATGACAACACTGCCATGTAAATGGGCATTTTTTTTCTTCTTTAAGAATAGTCTCCCAGATATAAAAGCTGAAGTCTCTTTTAGTATGTTTTATGCACAGTTTGAGTGGAGAGAATCTGTTGTCGGGTAAATTCTTGAGTTAAATATTATAAGGTGCATGGAAATTTATTTCTTTATAAACATATTTAACCATTGCTACAAAAAGAAAAAAAGGGGGCGGGTGAGGAGAAAGGGCAGCCCAGGCTGATGAAATATAAAGAATATGTTAGGAAACTTGTATTACATTTAAAACAAACTTTTTGTTTAAAATCTTTTAAGTTCAAGACGCAGAGAAAGCTCTTTAAATTACGCATTTGGATTACATAGCTTCTACCACCTAAATGCAAATAAAGGGTTTTGACAGTACATACAGTCTAAAAGCTTGTGTGAGCAATGTTTATGATGTGAAATGCATTGATCGCTGAACTCTACATAGTATTACTACCTTTTAATGGCCTTTGAAGTCAATATGTTATGGTTAAGAACTCAGAAATAAATATGATATACTATGAACAGAGTATATATATTACTGGGAAGCCTAAAATCAAATAGAAAATAGATGAAAGAATAAGTATTAGCACAAATGACAAATATTGAGAAATTAAGTATGAATCTATTGTGTTTGAGACATTGCAGCTTCATCTTTCTTGCATTGCTGCATAAAGCCAAAGACATAATTAACTCATCTTTGCAAACACCTAGAGTTGGTTCTTGAGTACTTGGCGGTGGTATGGTGAGTGTCACAATAAGAAAATGGGACTTAAAGTGAGGGCTTTGCCACTGACTTCTTGTTTGCTCTGGGCTGGACTCCCTCTTTTTGGGTGAGTTGTGCTTAGTCCTGGTGGTATAACCCTTGGGTTACTGGGTTGTGTAGAATGAGCACAGAGCCATGGCTTTGTAATCACACAGATCTGCTTTGAAATCCTGCTCCTACCATTTACCACCTTTGTGACTGTGGGCATATTTCTTAACCATTCCAGACTCAGTTTCTCATCTGTAAAATGGGGTCAAAAATACCTGCATTATAAGATTGTTATAAGATTATATGAAATGCTTAGTACAGTGCCTGGCACATAGTAAACACTCAATAAATTGTTATTATTATTATTATAACATGAATAAGCATTATGCAACTAGAATATGAATTTGTATCTATCTTTGCAACATTTAAATTTTTCGATAGTTAATTTCCCTCAAATTAAGGTATGCATGATGGTTTTAAGATGAGAGGAGGAAGTTTAAAAATGAGTTTTAGTATTTATTTTTGTTTGCTGATGAGGCATACCTGAATCAATAATTTCCTTGTCTGTAAGTTACTCCCTGATCTGCAGTGATTCTTTATTCTATTATGTGGTTATTACTGCATGACATTTATTTGTGTGGTGACTAGAGGTAATCACAGTTTTGGACACGGATATGTTCCTATTCTCTAGAAAATAATCCATCCTCTTGTTTCCACTTTAAAGAAAATTAAGTAACTGTGATATGGATAAAGATAAAGCTAAATAGGACCTGCTTTGCTTGACCACCAAGCTATTAGCTCAGCTGCCTTTTGATAGAATTTGTGTAAGTCTACATAATCTTAGTAGGGAAGGAAAATTCCTCACATCTGGCTTCTGAACTGCTTTGTATTTCATGTATTCTATGATGACATTCAAGAAGTTTAAAATAATGGTATTCAGAATACTAAGTATTCATCATAACTCTGATGCTGTGTCTCTTGAGTGATGGAAATGTCACTGCCTTAATTCTAGCCCCCACTACCACTTACCTGCATAACTATATTAGCCTCACATCCCAACCTTTCAAGTGTTTTAGCTTGGAGTATTAGGTGTTCTACTATATATATCTAGTAGTCTTTGCTATTCAGCACCTTGCTGCTCAACTGACTTTCCTTATGTATAGTTCTGCTTCCAATACCTCTTTGTTCAAAGATGTTTAATGACCACCCATTGTTTACATATTCCCCTGCTTGATCTTTAAATCATGCACGGCCCAGTTCCAGTGTACTTTCCCAGTTTTGTATGCCAATGTTCTCTTTCATGTAATGTATGTGATAGTTCCCAACTTCCTCAGCCTCATCTAAGTACTAAGGGCCTTCAGCCCATTATAGCTCAACTCTCATCCCTTAAGCTCATCACTTAAGCTCTTTGTCACTTAAGAAATTGCATGTATTACCTGAAGCCAGGGTGCCTAAGAAGAGTCTACCAAGCTATAATCTTTTGCCTTTTCCCCTCCATATATGTCCAGTTTGTAGGGATGGGTTTCTCTATTTTTTTTTTTTTTTTTTTTTTTTTTTTGAGATGGAGTATCACTCTGTCACCCAGGCTGGAGTGCAGTCGCACAGTCTTGGCTCACTGCCACCTCTGCTTCATGGGTTCAAGCAATTCTTTTGCCTCAGCCTCCTGAGTAGCTGGGATTACAGGCATATGCCACCATGCCCAGTTAATTTTTGTATTTTTAGTAGAGACAGGGTTTCACCATGTCGGTCAGGTTGGTCTCAAACTCCTGACCTTGTGATCCACCCACATCAGTATTCCAAAGTGCTGAGATTACAGGTGTGAACCACCACACCCGGCTCTTCAATAATTTTCTCAAACTTCCAGCCTACTAAATTAGAAGGACATCCTCATTGATCCTCAGCCCTACTGGTTGGGCCCTTGAATGCAATCCATTTAATTTTGGCTCTGAATATAAGACTCCCTGTTTGGGCAATTGTCCAAACAATTGCCTAGAGATCAAAACCCCATTCTTAGGTTCTTGCTAGCTTCATCTCCTGAGTATCATTATGGCACATGATATTGTTCTTTACCATCAGGCTTCAAATTTCTGTTTGTTCTCTATATGCGAATGCTAACCTAGAATGTACTTAACTTTACCGTATCCTTGATTTGGCATTAGACCACGGCATGGCAAACTAAGGCCCTTGAGCCAAATGAAGCCCAACTGTTTTTTTTAAGTCAGGTTTTATTGCAGCACAGCCATTCCTATTCATTTACTTACTGTCTGTAACTGCACTACAATGGGAGAGTTGAGTAATTGTAACAGAGACCATGTACCTGTAAAGCCTTAAATATTTACCTCTGAACCTTTACAGAAAATGTTCATTTATCTGCGATCTAAAGCCAAGCGGTTCTCTTAACCTAGATACTGCTTATTCTTTGATAATTTCCCATTCCCATCTTGTTAACCAATAAGGCCAGTTCATTGAGACTATGAAGATAGCTTCCAACCCATTTAAACTATGTGCTTTTTCTTGAATTTCCCTGCCTTCTCTTTCTTACCTTCCTAAGATGGTATTTCTTTGTATTTTGCTTTTTAGCAGAAGAGATGCAATAGTATTAAAGACTACAAGAGTAGTCTCATGATGTGTTTTAATTTAATATCTAGGCCCTAATACACAACTCTTCCAATATTGCTACTATCTTTCAACATGACTTTCTAATGCCATTAAGATTAGGCCTTTCTATTCTTCCATTTCTCTAACTCAAGTCTTTTAACCTCCTCAGCTTCCAATATCAATTGCCAGTTCTTCCAAATATTATAACATCCATGTGTTCCAGTTCCCATCATGCACCATCTCCAATGACTTTGTTTTCTAAGCTTCCCAATATTGGAGTCATTAAAAATTTAGGTCTTCTAATATTTCCAACAATCCGTCTTCGAAGTTCAGGTCTTGTCTTTTAGGATCCAGAGTTCTAAATTACAAGTCTTCTATGGTCTTAATCCTCCAGTGTCTTCTATATACAGTTCTTCCAGAGTCTATGTATTTCATAGTGTTTAAGCCTAGCTTCTTCCAGCTCTTACATTGTTCAGTTTCCACATTTTTAAATGTCTCCTACATTCTAGTTTTACAGTGTCTTTTCACTGCCAATTCCTCCAATGCCCAAGTTACTAATTTCCTGCAAGAACTAGATCTTAGAGTTTTCAGGTACTTCAATATCCTCATGTTTGAATAAATAGATCTCTTAATATCCTGGTCTTGTATTGTCCAGGCTGCCAGTATTCTTGACCTCCAGCCTCATAAAAAATTAATTTTTCCAAATTGTCTTTTGGCATAAACATGTCAATATCCATGCTTACCAATGTCTCCCAATATACAGGGCTTCTCATTTTAGGATTTCTAAATGTCTACACCTGCTGTTGTTCATATCTGCCAGTATTTAGGAGTTCCAAGGTACAGGACTTACAACATCTGTAATTTCCAGAGCTTTCAATTTCTATGACTTCCAATATTTAATATGCCAATGTTCAGGGCCTCCAGAATAGTCAATGCCCAGAATAACCAACGTCTTTAAAATCTATTGCAATGTCTCCAACGTCCTGTGCTCACAATGTTTCCAATGTCCAGGGTTTCCACTGGCGCCAGTGTCAAGGTCTTCCAGCAACTCCAGGTCTTCCAGCGACTTCAAGTCTTCCAACAATGTCAAGGTCTTCCAGACAATCCTGAGCTTCCAGAAAATCCACATCTTCCAGACAATCCATGTCTTCCAGACAATCCATGTCTTCCAAGAACCTCCAAGTCTTCCAGTAAATCCAGTCTTCCAGCAATTATAGGTCTTCCACCAAATCCAGATCTTCCAGGAAAATCCACGTCTTCCAGCTAATCCATGTCTTCCAGAAAAATATGTCTTCCACCAAATCTAAGTCTTCCAATAAATCTAGTGCTTCCGGAAATATCCAGATCTTCCAGTAAATCAGTGTCTTCCAGAAAGAAATCCAGGTCTTCCATTCAGTGTCTTCCAGAAAGAAATCCAGGTCTTCCAGTCAGTCAGTGTCTTCCAGAAAAATCTACGTCTTCCACCAAATCCAGGTCTTCCAGTTAATCCACGTCTTCCGGAAAAAATCCAGGTCTTCCAGCCAATATATGTCTTCCTGAAGATCCACGTCTTCCAGAAAGTCCATGTCTTCCAGAAAATCCATGTCTTCCAGTAACCTCCCAGTCTTCCAGAAAATCCACGTCTTCCAAACAGTCCAGGTCTTCCGGATAATTCGGGTCTTCCTGAAAATCTACGTCTTCCAAAAAAGCCATGTCTTCCAGAAAATTGACGTCTTCCAAAAGTATCCAGTTCTTCCAGACTGTCCATGTCTTCCACAAAATCCTTGTCTTCCCTCAAATCCATGGCTTCCAAAAAATCCAGGTCTTCCAGGAAATCCGTGTCTTCCAGCAAATCCACGTCTTCCAACAAAGCCATGTCTTCCATCAAATGAATGTCTTCCAGCCTACCTACGTCTTCCAACAAAAGTACGTCTTCCAACAAAGGTACGTCTTCCAACAAAGGTACGTCTTCCAGAAAATCCACGTCTTCCAACGAAGCTATGTCTTCCAGAAAATCCACGTCTTCCAACGAAGCCATGTCTTCCAGAAAATCCACGTCTTCCAACGAAGCCATGTCTTCCAGAAAATCCACGTCTTCCTGAAAATATGTCTTCCAACTAAGCTATGTCTTCCAACAAATCCATGTCTTCCAGCATCTCCAGGGCTTCCAGAATCTGCTCGTCTTCCAACATCTCCAGATCTTCCAGCGTTTGTGTGTCTTCCAGCATCTTCATGTCTTCCAACGTCTTCAGGTCTTCCAACACCTACCCAGTCTTCCATCAATGGCTCAATATCCATGTCTTCCAACATCTCCAGTGTGCTGATCTTCTAACATTCAGGTCTGTAGTATCCAAGTATTCTAATATGTTCTATAGTCCAAGCCTTCCCACCATTCCCCAGGTCCAGGGTTTTCAAATCTAGTCTTCCCCTGTCTGAGCCTTCCCATGTTAAAATCACTCTACAGAAAAATCTTCCAACTCAACTATTTCTGCTTCTAGTTGAATTAGCTTCAAAAACATTTAATGGGACATTCCTCCTTATAGACCAGATCTTATGAACCAACTGTACTGCAGTTTGTGTTTTTTACAATTAGGAAATGAATATTTAGTCCCTACAACTTTTAAAGATAGTGTCCATAATAAAGCTTCTGCAGAATAACCGGATAGGACTGCTGCAATAAATTTTACTACTTCACTAGTGCTTACAGTTTTTATATGTTTAGGTCTAAGTGAAATTTTTATTTAATGAGAAAAAGTCCTGCTTAAGACTGGTATTTTAGGTAAAGTTAACATGTAGTGTACTATTTGTCCATTTTAAATGATATTAACTTTTATCATTGGTCTTATGTGATTAAAGAGTAGTATAATAATAATAATAACAATAACACTTAACATAGCATTTGCTATGTCCAGGCACTGTTCTAAGATCCTTACACGCATTCACTCATTTAATCTTCACAACAACCTATTGAATCTAGATTCTATCATTATCCCTGTTTTACAGATGAGGAAACTGGCACACAGAGGTGAAATAATTGTCCACAGGACACAACTACGAAATAATAGAGCCAGGATTTAAACCCGGCTAGCCTGTTGCCAGAGTCCATGATTGTAACCTCTATGCTATAATATCTGCTGTTTAAAATCATGATAGAATGATGTGATCCAAAGGTTGATTGCTTCCGTATTATGTGTAGAATATTATACAATCCCATATACAAATGGTCTTTTGTGATCCTCTCACTACCAGAATCTATCTGTATTCACAGCTTTTATTCCCCAACCAGCTACTACCATTCCCTTGGTCATGTATATGGAAATAGGTGCAAACACTTTCTGATACCATTTTCAGTTTTGGCTGGAAGAATATAAGGGAGCACTGAGTTCAATCACCCTTTGCTTCAGAATCCTATTCTTAGCTCCAAGTTTTGAGTCCTGGTGCTTGGAATTTAACTCTTCTATCTCTCTGAATCCCTTATTACTGACTATTCTCCTGATTGCACCTTACCATGTGGAGCACTTACCATTAGTTTATTTCTAACTTCTAGCATCTACCTGCTTCAAATATCACAACCTCCTGGGTTCCCGACCACTTCATTGTGTCCGACTGATGGTAGCTACAACTCCTTAAATCCCAACATGCTGATCCAGAGAACCAACTTCTTGGTTCTCTAAGTCTCAGCTCCCACCAGGTGCTTTCAGCAATGTTGCTACCCATGCTTTTGGCTGGCATGAAAAGCAAAAAAACCACATAATGAAATTTTTAGTTAGGCAGGGAATCTCTAAAGATTTAGAATCATCTATATGATAATAAAAAGGAACAATAACAATAATATCAATTAAAATAGAAATACTTTCTGAATGTCTAATGATTTATAGTTTACTAAAAGTGCTGTCACTTCATTCATTCATTCATTCGACAAATATTTATTGAGTGTTAACGGTATGCCAGGCATGTTTTGATAAAGATTAAAATCATCCAGGAGAAACAAACAATATACAGATAATTTAAAACGTACTTATCAATTGTAAAGCCATGAAGAAGAAGTACATATGGGGTGCTATGAGAGTCTGGAAAATCAAGGAAAACATTCCCCAAGAAGTCACATTTATTGTGACTGAAGAATCTATTTTCTCATTGGGTTCTCACAATATAGCCTTGTGACTTAGATAAAAGAGCATGTTTATTTGTCAGTTTTACTAATCTGAGTGCTACCAACAGCCATGGGATCCAGGTGTTTTAACCTCCTTTTTTTCCCCTCTACTTTTTTGCCTTAAAAATATATATAAAGTATTATTTGAAAATATATATCAAGGGATATAAAAATGGTTTAGTATATTCCACTTCAAGGAATCTGTCCAAGGAAATTATCTAAAATGTGGATAATTCATGCACAAAGATACTCCTCATATGGTTATTTGGCATAGTAAAAAACAGAAAAACCTTAGTCTGATATTAAAGGAATGATTAAATAAATGTGCCATGTACCTATGATGGAATATTCTTCCATTAAAATACTATGGCATATTTATTTTATAATATAAGTGAAAAATCAGCATACAAGGTTACACAAAGTGTGATGGCAACTATTTTAAAATATATAATCAATGACAAATGACTGTAACTAAATGTATTGGAGACATTAAACTATCACTGGATGGATAAGATTATGTATGATTTTATTTTCTTTTAAGTTCTTACGCATTTTCTATTCAAGTAAAATATTTAAACAATTGTGCACAAAACTATAATTTGTTCATCTTTTTTCTTGTACATGGAATCAAGTTTTGCTGTTGAAAACACTTCAAAATATAAGTTCACAAGTTGAAAAAAATAAGTTCTCAAATAATTTTAATATCCAGAGATAATCACTGTAAAGATTTTTGTGTATGTTCTTCTAGGCACTTTTACTAGTATATTTTTCTTGTACAAAATGTAATCATACTGCAATTTAACCTATTTCTTTCTTACACTTAATAAGTTGTGAGCAACTTTCTATGTCAGTTACTGTGCGGCTATGTAATAATTTTAATAAATATTTACTCCATATCCTATTGATCGGCATTAAGTTCCTTCCAATTTTTTTGTATTATAAAAACTTCTGTGATCAGCAACATACTTTATGTAAGGTGTGAAGAACACAAACTGTTTTATTCTACGTGGTGTTCCTATACATATTTGTGTGCAGATGTGTTCGAATATTACTTAGGATAAATTTCTTTCTTTTTTTTTTTTTTCCATTATACTTTAAGTTCTGGGGTACATGTGCAGGACGTGCAGGTTTGTTACAGAGGTATACACGTACCGTAGTGGTTTGCTGCATCCATCACCCCGTCATCTACGTTAGGTATTTCTGCTAATGCTATCTCTCCCCTAACTCCCCACCCCCGACAGGCCCCAGTGTGTGATGTTCCTCTCCCTGTATCCATGTGTTCTCATTGTTCAACTCCCACTTATGAGTGAGAACATGCAGTGTTTGCTTTTCTGTTCTTGTGTTAGTTTGCTAAGAATGATGGTTTCCAGGTCCATCCATGGTCCTGCAAAGGACATGAACTCACCCTTTTTTATGGCTGTGTAATATTCCAATGTGTATATGTACCACATTTTCTTTATACTTAGGATAAATTTCTAAAAGGAGAGTTACTGAGCCAAACAAGACCATGTACGTCATAATGTTTATCATGGCCAAAAAATGAAAAGCAATCAGATGTCTAACAGTTGGGGTGGTTGAAATATTGTATTGTAACTATCTAATGGAATACTGTGCAGTCATTTAAATTTATACCATAGAAGAATATTTACTGAAATGGGAATATGTTCATAAGGTATCATCAGTGAGAGAAATAGGTCACAGGAAAATATGTATAATACTCATATTTTGTAGAGGGAAAACTAAATGCCTTCAGGAAAATAGCTAGAATATATACACTAAAATTTTAGTTGTAAAAGTCCCAAAAAGGAAACGGATGAATCATGGTATATTTCACATAAAATATTATATAGTTATGATATGAGTATACTACAGCTACATATAACAATATGGGTAGATTTTACTTTAAGAATATTAAGATGTCAAGGCTCAAAAGACTACATATAATAGGATATCCTTTTTATATTATTCAAAAACAAGTAAAATTAAGCACTATATTATTTAGGGCTATGTACACATAATGTACAAATAATTTATTAAAAAGCAAAAAAATTTTTAAAATTGAAGATAATGGTCATTGAGGTTGAGGAAAGAAGGTCAGATATGGGAGGATTATGGAAATGAATTCACATTATGGTTAATATTCTAGTACCCAGGTGTGTTGTGTAGTGGTTGGTGTGCTTATGTAATTAAAATCCCATTATTGATTATATAATAATTGTATGATTATTATTAACATTAAATAACAAGACAAATTAATGGGTAAAAATAAAAGAGGGCCATGCATGCATCAATGAGACAGTGTGCACAATCTAAGGATTATTAATCCCATTCTTTACATTTGTCTTTCATTTTTTTTTACAGTAATTTATCTGTGGGTAGTTAACGCTACTTGGGATTTTCATTCTCTTTTGGTTCTTTGTTCTCGAAATTTTCTATTTTGAACATGTATTATTTTCCAAATTAAAATGAATTTAAACTTTACATTAATGTGTATTTAATGATATAGGGAAATGAAATATTATATTTATTGAAAAACAAGCTCAAAATTACATAGCATATGATCCAAAATATGATTAAAATACATAACATGAAGTGAAAAGTGTTGATGTGTTTACAATAATTGCTTCTGTGTAGTGATTTCAAATCACTTTTGTTTCCAAATATATACATGCACACATATATAAATATATACACATTATATATTATATTTGTATGTATGCATATGTATATATATGTATATGTGAATGAGTTTTATAGGGTGGGCTTCTTTTATATATATGTAGGCTTCTGTACTCCCAAGATTTATAGGGTAGGCTTATATATATGTGTGTGTGTGTGTGTGTGTGTGTATGTGTGTGTGTGTGTGTGTGTGTGTTTTATAGGGTGGGCTTATTTTTTGTTATAAAAGTAATATATGTTTATTGTAAAAAGTAAAAAAAAAAAAGCAGTAGTATATAAAGTAAAAAGTGAAAATACACTTCTCCTAATCCTATCTCCCAAAGATAGCCATGACTCTATTTTGTATCTTTCTCATACTTCTTTTATTTACTTGAATATATTCGCATGTGTTTTAGAAAATAAAATCATCCTATACATTTATTCTGCAACTTGCTTTT